GGCTTTTCCAAGCCAGCTGGAGAGCTGGCTTTTCCAAGCCTGTCGAGGCTGCCGAAGCCTCCAGCAGCTACAAGCTTTTCCAAGCCTGCAGCTCTTCGGCTACAGGCTTTTCCAAGCCGTGAGCCGGGACTATGGCTCAAAACTACGGCTGCTGGCTACGACTGCTAGCCTACAACCTACTGTGTCTGCGACTGTGCTGCTATAGGCCTAAGGAACCCCAAGAAGGGAGGGCCCTACCGGCGGCCCTAGAAGGACCTAAAGCGGCACTACAACCTGAAGGTAGACTTGAACCCCCACACCCCCAGGCTAAAAACCCGGCCTGAAGTAGAGAGAGAGTTATAAAGCCCCGGCCTATTATACCCTAAACCCCACAATCTATATATATATATATATATATATCACATATAGACCCCCAAGGTCTTTGAAGAAACCCAGTTGCTTCTCTCTGTGAAAGTGTTCTGTCTGTGTGCTCTGCTGTGTCATGCTGTCCTGCATGGTCCATGCATGCATGCTCGGAGCCTCGCACTGCCGTGTATATATATATATATATACATGCACACGTTCCAAAAAATGTGAACATGCGAAAACGTACATGCAAGAGACGAAAATCAAGCTCCATGTCTCAATTTTTCGCAGCCAGGAGGCCGAGAAAGTCGAAAGCGGTCGGCCTACCCCTAAAAACTTTTCCAAGTTTCTGCAGGACCTACAGAGGCCAGGCTTTTCCAAGCGGGCCACCACAGTAGCGAACGAAAGAACGAAGCGGCAGCTAGTGTTTTTCCAAACACGTCCTTCAGCAGCCATGTTGGCTGCAGAGGTGCTCACGGAGGTCCCTGGCCTCCTCCTTAGTGAGGTGCTCCTTTTCCAAGGTTGCTTTGATTTCGTCGATGATGCCTTCGAAGGCAGGGCATCTCGACTGCGACACCTCAATAATAAGCCGCATTTTCTCGCCAACCTCTGTCCTGCCAAGCAAGTAGGCCCTGCGAGGGTTGCTGGCATTCGTTTTTGTGATGGCAAGCCATGGCTTCCGCTTTGGCTTTTCCAAGCCTTTTGGCTTTTCCAAGCCTTTTGCCGCCACGGCTTTTGCCTTTCCCTTGGCTTTCGGGGAGGCCTTTGCCTTCGCTTTCGCCTTCGCTTTAGCCGCTGGGGCGGCTTTCGCTTTGCCTTTAGCCTTGGCTTTCGCTTTCGGCGAAGCCTTTGGCTCGGCAGCTTCTGCCTCAGCCGCCTCTGCTTTCCCAAGCAGCTTCCTCTTCTTCTTCTTTCGTTTCTTCTTTTTGTTTTCCTCGGCAGGGGCTGAGTAGCCCAGGAGCTCAGAAAGGTTCTCCTGCTTTGCCGGAACCCTGCTCCCGGCTCTTTTCCTGGAGACCAGCTCCGGCTCAAAGGGGACAAGTGCCAAACTCGACGATGGCTTTTCCAAGCCAACCCCGGGGTCCTTGGACGAAGAGCTGGGCTCTCCTCGCTGCTTCTTCGAGGCTGGGGGGCTGTCGAACATTCGTGGCAGGCCGAAGCTGTTGAGCGACACGTCGTCGCTGTCCCGCTTCTTAAGCTTCCTGGGTGTCTTTTCCAAGTCTCTGCTTTTGCCAGGCCCCGACTTTCCCAAGTCCGGCTGGGCGGACGAGGGCTTTTCCAAGCTTTCCTCGTCTTTAAGGGTGAGCAACTGCAGCCCAGCCTGCAGCTGCTGGAACTCCTGTCTGCTGAGCTTGGCTGCTGCCTTTCCCAAGGCGCCTTCTCCATCTCGCTTTATCTTGCGAAGATGGGTCAACAGACAGTTGATCCTTTCCACCCTTAGCCCAACCCACACCTGTCCGCTGCAATCCGAGGAATTGAGCGACGGACAGTGTGCAAGGAGCGACAGCAGAGCCGCCCTGAGGGGCTGGGCATGGACCTCCCCACTTGGAGAAACCTTCAAAAGGTTTCTCCACAGGTCCGCCAGGCCCACCAGGGCTTTCCAGTCCGGGGCCTGGCTGCTGCTTATCCGCTCGTAAGCGCCCATGTCGGCGACCATGGGCTGATAGAGCTTCAGGGCCGTATAAAGGACCCCGGAGTCTATCATGGGCTTCGGACTATGCCTTGCCCCGCCCCTGACCATCTTTCCCAAGTGGACAGCTTAAGCTTTCCCAAGCTTCGCCGAACCGGTTTTCCCAAACCGATGAAGTAACAGTTGGGCTTTCGCAATCCAGGCTTTCCCAAGCCTATATTTTCCGAAGAGAACCAAAAAACCTGCTGTTGCAGGTGAAACTTTCGCAGGAAGGCCAGGGGAGGAAGGCGACTACCTACCTACTTTCGCTGCCTACTCTGCCTGCTCTGGCTGCTCTGCTGCCTGCATGGTGCTGTACTGCTGCTGCCGGCCTGCTGACCGATCTGGTTTAAGGTTTGTAGAGTGCTGTGCCTACCCAAACATATGCTTTTGCCTGGTGGACTGCTTCTGAACTGTACACTCTCGCTGGGAGCACGGCGGGCAGCGGCGGGCATGCAATTCGATCACTCCAAAAACATGCACTGCAGCACATGATATGCCAAATCAATCGCATTATGCATGCTTTTCCAAGCATGCACATCCATCATGAAAATGCCATGAAAATCATATATGAGAATCAATATGAGAATCAATATGCGAATCAATATGCTAATCAATATGCTAATCAATATGCTAATCAATATGCTAATCAATATGCTAATCAATATGCTAATCAATATGTCGTTTTTTTTGCATATTGATTTTTGGCGCTGCGCCAAAAATCAATATCTGTTTGCGAAATTGATTGATTGTAATCAATATGGGATGCTCAGGGAATGTTCGCTCCAAACTGGCACACAAGCCTTTTGCTAGTGAGTGTTCGTCCCCCTCTGACAAGTGGCGGTCAGCGTGCGGCCTTTGGAAGTACGGGAAAGCAAGCTGCCAGAGGAATGCAACCCTTTTGCCAGGTTTTCGCTACTGTCGCGTTTGCTTTCCTGAGGAGAGTTCTGTCGCTGAAGTTCTGCAGTCTCAAGCACAAGCCCCCGAGGGATCTGAATCATCGTCAGATTCATCGGATTAGGTCGGCCGAGATGGCGGCGCCGGCGTCCTTCGACGAGTTGTGTGACAAGGCCGCAGTGCACCCGACAGTTCGCTTGCTTTTCAAGGCCAGAGGGGTGGACGTCCCGGGAGTGATACACCACCTCTTTTCGGACCGCTCTAAGATCCAGGCGTTCTTGGACCCGCTGAGGGCAGGCGTCGAGTTGGCAGGAGACACAAAGAGGAGGTCGGCCGACGAACTGTTGATCGATCAGGCCACCGTCCTCGAACTACTGGACGTCATAGCGCCGACGAAAACAGCAGCCTCTCCAGCCGCCCCGGTCGCACCGGCAGCGTCTACCACGTCAACGAGTTCGTCTGACAAGCCCCAGGATCTACCGGCCGGCTACTGGAACGACTTCGTGACCGAGTACGAGGCCGCGGTGGTCGACGGTAGGAACCGCAAGTTCCCGGCCCACTTGTTGGTCGGATCCGAGAAGACCTTGGGCCGTATGGTCGCGGAGAAGAAATCGGGGCTCTACACGGCGTTGGCCTTGGGAGAGATTCTCTTTTCGCGCCACTTCACGGCATCCAAGCAGGTGAACCCTTTCTCGTCTACAACGAAGCCGGAGACCTCCACCAAGCTGTTCGCATCCGAGGACGGCACCCTCTCCAAGGTCGCAAAGACGATGCCAGAGCCCCAAAGGCTTGTCACTATGTTGGATGCGTTCGAGGCCTGCAAGTTCGCGTTTATGTTTGCACGCTGGGGCCCAAACCCGGAGGTCGCAGACTACTTCGGCGCCCGACCCCTTAATCCCTGGAACCAGGTTAGGTCCGCAGGTGCCGAGTCGTTGCAGCACCCAGGTGCATGCCACACAGCGTCAGGTCGCGCCTAGCCAGCTTCCGAGCCGTGTACAGCACACCACCTTTCCCACCTGCTCCTCCTCCCTCAGGCCGCACTCAAGGCACAGGCATAGGCGACCCCCCAACTTCCACCCGTACGGCTGTCGTGCTCACCCCCAACTCTGCAACACAGGCGTCGATGTCTCACGTGACTCCGCCTCCGCACCGCGCACAGCATGCGTCGCAGCCTCACGTGGCTCCGCAGCACACGCCAACCCTGCAGGCGTCGCAGCCTCATGTGGCTCCGCCGAGCTCTACTCCTCCGACACCCACGAACGCCACACAGCCTCAGTCACAACAACCTCGCTTCCCGGTCGCAGTTCTCAGCTTCTTCGATGGCATAGCAACGGCTCTACACGCAGTGAAGAGCTGGTCCATCAGGCCAGTCCTCGCTTGGTCGTGGGAGCTTGACCCGGAGGCCACCAAGGTCGCGTCGTCGCAGCACCCCGAGATGGTCCACCATGGCGATGTGTTCGGCCGCAAGCCTCAGGAGGTACTTGCCGCTCTCTCGGCTTCAGTTTTTTGAAGGACACTGTGGTCCTGCTGTTCGCCGCCCCACCTTGCCACGATTTTTCCAGGATCCGGAGCGATCCCCCAGGTACGCAAGGCCAAGAAGGCTCTAAGTTCACTAAGTTCGCCGACTGGCTTAAGAACTTCGTTCGGTCGTCCAGCTTTCGGGTGTTGTTCCTCGTGGAAAACGTGTACATGTCAGCCTCGCAACAGCAGGAACTCGACAGGGCCTTAGAGTGCAGGGCGTTCGCATGCGATGCCGCGAGCTGGGGTGTCGTGTCGCGACCTAGACTCTGGTGGTCGAACGTGGTTTCCCCTCCACTGGAAAACGTTCGCGAACCACCTGCCAAACTGGGAGGACAGGCACGCTGGCGCAGACTGAACAGACACTGGGAGATCATCCCCAACAGCACTCTGTTTCCTCGACAGGTCGCACAGTCGTGCCCGTTTGCGACCTTCAGTGAAGAAGTCACATCGGGGCGCATTAGGTTCCCTTGTTTAACAACACCTGCTGAGACCGCCCAGGGTCGCGAGCCACCGGGGAAGAAACGCCGCTCCGAAAGCCCCGGAACCGTGGAGCGCTGGAAGGCATCCA